CTACCATCAATATGAACCTTTTTATCATTAAATGTATAATATCAAACAAGGGCACTTACTCATTTGCAACTTTACAAGAAAATAGTAGTAGTTTTACCAAAAACTTCTTTTAAAAAAAAACTACAGAGCCTAGAATAATACTTTTTGTAGTTTATTGAATGGCGAATCCTTTTTCTAATTCTTTGTAAATCATATCCTTCTGTGATAATTAGAAGCTTTTTTATCAAAAGTCAAAATGCACAGTCACTAAAACTAGACAACTAGGAGTACTTGAGTGAATGGAAGTAGTCCACTAAATCTAGTAATACTACTAATATAGTGGACTCACCAACAACATGCTTAAATATATAAAAGCTTATGTCTATAACTTTTATTTCTTGATTTTTTAGAAATTTTTAATTTACAGTATTGGTAAAGTTTTTTCTGTTGAACAGATTGGAAACAAAAATACTGTCACATTGGATGTTTTTTCTCCTGGCGATTACTGCATTAGCAGACGGATCAGAATTTAATCTTCCTTGTGCCAAGGAATCTTCAAAATGTTTGTAAGTAAAAATGACATTAGACTAATCAGAGGACATTTTTATTATTGCTGACAAATTTACCTTTTAAGCATTTCATATTACTACATATTTATTTAACAAAATTTGTAAAATTTAGGCATACAAATTGTAAGCATCCTTGACTTTCATGGCCGTAATATTTTTTAAACCCAAACTTCATTGTCTATTATTATACCAATAAAATATCAATTTTGTGTTAAAGGCCTACTATTTTTTAAAATGTTAAATGCTTAGATTATATTATTAGAACAAATTTTTTTAAATGTATTTTGCTGTCAATAGCTGAGTATTAAAACTTTGGGTCAACATGAATACTTTAAAGTGCATAATAAATCATTCCCATTTTCTCTTGATTTTATTTTGCTAACTAGATCTACATGCATTTTGGATTAATATTGTTTTTCAAACATGAATTATTAATAACATTACGTAAATACAAAATTAATAAAAGTAATTAGTACAAAAAATACATAATCAAATTTTTGTATTTTTTTTACCCTTGAAAAAGAATTCTTAAAATATTCCACATCCCTTTCAATTCCTTCCAAATATATTTCAACAGTTTTTGTTTGATTCAGAAAAAAAATCATTCAAAACAAAGTAGTGCTGATTGGAAATTAACTCTTTTAAAAATATTTTACTCATCTTTCTCTAAATTTTCTAGATTCTACATTTAATATATATAGGGTATCATCATCTTTTGCCGTTTGTGCCCAAGACACATTGGGCAGATGAAGTTAAGTTCATCTGTTTCAATCACCTTTGCATATTTGGCGATAGTGTGGTTGGCACTATACCTAGCAGCCTTTATTTTACCTCATAAGCATTAGGTACTCATTTAAGCTGGGTGGATTCAGGGATGTTCTGCTTACTTGAACCCAGATTCCAACTCGATACTTTCAAGTTTGCAATCTAGCACTCTACCAGTAGGCCATGCCATCCCCGTATATGGTATATATCTCCAAAAAAATATATATCGCTGTATTAATTATTAGCATTTCAAAATCTTTTGTCTATGTCACATATGGATGACCCCTTATTAGACTTCATTTTAGCATAAATCATTATATTAATCCTTTTTTTTAATAATGTCAATAAAAAATAGTGTTATAAATTATCAAAAATAACAAGTCTTATTAGTTCATTCACTGAATACAATCATTGTTTTTATCTTTGTTTTTTCCTTTTTACATGAGAGCTCAACTGTTTGTTGAAAAAAGCTGTCTCTCTTGCTGCTGTGAATTGTAATTAACATTAGTAGTCTTTGGTAATGCGATAGAATTTCTATAACTATAAAATTTCAACAAAGTAAATGTATTTAATTGCATAACAATTGTAATTAAGAATACTAGCACCAGTGGCCATCTAACTTAAACTATTATTACACTTGACTTATTCCCTTGTGGACCCTGGGGATCAAAGGGCTGCAGCCACACCTCTCCATCTGACTCTGTTTTTAGCTGCTCTCTTTATTTGCATTGACCTGAGCCTGGCAGCTCCTGTCTCATCTTCTACTGTTCTTTTCCTTGATTTCCTTTGTGGCCTCCTCTCCTCTTCCCCTGTGGATTCCAGTTAAATGCTTTCCTCGCAATGTTGTCCTCTCCCATTCACAGGGTATGCCCTATTCATTCCCCAGTTGTGGGCTTTAATATCCCTGTCTATTGGCTGTTGTTTTGCCACAGATCTTTATTGGATTTTTTTTTTATTCTGCTGTCTCACTAACCTTCCTGTTGTATCATTCACTAAGTATGGTTATTAACAGATAACATAATATATAACATTTGTTTCTCTTTCGAATTGTCTGCACTTGGTGTTTTTGGTTCTACTCTTAGCTTGTTCCTATTGGATTATATGAAATGACTTGTCTCGTTAATCTTGTTGCTGATTTCCCAGTGAATGACTTATCCATCATTTAACACTTTAACATATAAAAATAAATGTATTGTTCACTATAAACTTACTTTATTTAATTAACTTCAGGATCTGCACAAAGTATGAAGAAGTAGGGGACAAGATTTTTTGTTTGGATTTGTCACAGTATGCTGACATGTGCTATGAAAACACTTACTGGACTGGGTGGCTGTATGCCGATGCAAATGGCTCTTACAGAATGGAATGCATGTAATTATTTTTACAACTAATATTTACGTTTTTACTTTGGTTATTTAAAAGTTATATGTTGCTTAACATACAAGAGTTCACTCTATATTGGTTCTTTCAGAGAATGTATTCAATTATTATGATCTGCAAAAATTTCACTAATTAGTTGTGTATTTACAATAATAGTGAAGTTAGTAGGCCTACTCAATAGAATGTTTTATTCAGTGTGTGTGATCTATAAGTTTTATCCTTCTGTCATAATGTTCGAGTTTTAAGTTAACATCCATTACTTATACATATATTAATTATTACATATATAATTGTGAGCTGAGGTTTTAAACTTAAAAAATAAAAGTAATACATACATCATGACAAGTAGTATTGTGAAAATCACAACCTCAATTTGTTTTTAAAAACTAGAATTCAAATAATGTAGGCCTACAATTGGCAATTATTTTGCATTACATTTATATTTTGTAAAATAAATTGATTAGCATTATAGTGTGCATTATTAAAGTCTCTTTGATTAATTAGAAAACAAGGAATTTGTTTACATTTGGGTCATGGGTCAGTTTTAAAATCCTATAACTGGTCTGAGAAATACTGGAATGTTCATACCCTAACCTAATCTATAGACATAATTTATTAAGGTCTAAAATAGTATTTTCTTTTCTTAATTTACATAAGAATCTGAATGATCATGAGGTAAAAGTAATGCTTTTTTTCACTACAGGCCATGCAAACCAGGGACAAAAAATCCTATTGCCTTTCATCAATATCAAAAGTGCACTTATATGTAAGTTCCTATTTACTGAAAATACTTATGCAGTCTAAATTTATTTTCTGAAAGAGATTTTGGCCTACTAACAAGTCTTTAGGTTATGTTTATTACAGACATGCCAACCGTCCCAAATAAAAGGAATAGTTATGCTACATCACCAAAAAAAGTAATTTGTTTTATTATTTTGCCTTTGACACCGTCTGTTCCATTTTTTTAAAAGAATCTGAAAAGCTATAAAATAGGCAGAAGTGATATTTTCCCCCAGAAGGCTGAGATTGCTTTTACTTTTGTTTTCAAGTTGAAAATATAAAAACCTTCAGTTTCTGAGATACGGAAATCACCCTCAGTCTTGTTGCTTCAGGGCGGAATAATGGTGGGAACTTCCTTTTATATTTAAAAAAATGAGTTTGGGGTCATCCATAAATGACGTCACACTTGTAGGGGGGTCCGTAATTTTGTGACGATGTGTGATGAGGAGGAGGAGGGGGGGGGGGGTTCAGATGTTGCGACATCACATTTTTGCATTATAAAAAAGCAATGTTAGAAAACAAATTTTAGACGTTATTTCGCATTTTAGATAACTGTTTTAATAAATTGTAATAGTTTACACAAAATTTGGGAAAAATATCGATGTTTTAAAAAATTCAACTGCAATTTTGAGGGGGGTTGTAGGTTGATGTGTGATGTAATTTTAGGGGGGGTGGTCTGGCTTTTTGTGACGATGTGTGGGGGAGGTAAAAATCGTCAAAAAAAGCGTGACGTCATTTATGGATGACCCCTTGTGAAACAAATGCTTAGATTTCTAATTGCAAGTTCAAGATAAGATATAGAGGAGAAAAAAATATAACCATCTCGCCAAATGCAATATTCTCTGCTAAATTAGAAAAAAATCACATCTTGTTCCGCTATTCCATTTTAGTCAAGTTCTACTAAATCAAAAATAAATGAGTGGGTAAAATGCGGTTGTTTCCCTTTGGCATTCAGCTCCGATTCAATGTTTACTTTTAATAATTAGGCTACATGTTGATAATCTGGAAAATAGCTGCCGAATGCTAGGATTTGAAATATGAATACAATATTTTAGAAATATTCAGAGAAATTTTCATTTATAAAACGGAATGAATACTGAAATATAGATTCTTTTGGGTAATTGTAATCATTAAGTAGATACATTTTTTAAGTTAAAATATGAGTAAATTTAATCAACACACTAGATCTAACTAATAATATTACAAAGAGTACGAGCTTTAGTTAGCATTTGTTAGTAGTGCATAGCAAAGAATCCTAAATTTTTTTAAGACTTTTGAAGCAGTAACTAGTATTTAAGTCAGACTATAGTGTTATAATGGCTGAAGTTATGGTTTTATATTATGTGGGGGGGGGGGAGGTACATGTTTTTTTTTTTATATTTTAAGCTTCATTTAAATTGACTTGTTTGGTTAATCTTGTTGCTGATTTCCCAGTGAATGACCTATCCATCATTAAACACTTAAACATATAAAAATAAATTTATTGTTCACTATAAACTTACTTTATTTAATAAACTTCAGGATCTGCACGAAGTATGAAGAAGTAGGGGACAAGATTTTTTGTTTGGATTTGTCACAGTATGCTGACATGTGCTATGAAAACACTTACTGGACTGGGTGGCTGTATGCAGATGCAAATGGCTCTTACAGAATGGAATGCATGTAATTATTATTACAACTATTTTTTTAATTTATTTTTTAACTGGGATTATTTAGTAGCTGTAACTTGGTACATACAAGAACGGGTTTAAATTGTTATTGATACTGGTTTCAATTTTTTTTAAACGTAGAAATCCTATACAATAATTGGCTTATTTTGTCTGTGTGTAACTGGAAAATATTTCAAGTAGCTTCTAGTTTAGAACTCTAAGTGTGCAAGATACAAATATGTTGTATAATTTAATATAATTTTAAATCTAACCTTTGTTTTTACATTTCTAGAAATTACTATATTACTAATTAATGTTTTTAAAATGGCATAATTATTGTAAAGATGCTATTATGTAATATATATTAAAAAATTAATTACCACGATTATTTATTTTCAGTTGTAGATACTTATGTAATAATAACTGTCTTATAGCAATAGGCCTATTACTTGAACAATCTGTTAATTGAAAAACAGTGAAATACTAAAAAAGAAATAATTTTAACAATTTGTTATTAAACTTAGTAAGTGGTATTACAGTTTGTCTGTTTGAAACTCAACATAAATAAGCTGCTAAGATAAATCAATAGGTTTTCAATGGTACAATATCAATGGAATTCAATCTAGATGAAATATTAGTTCATGGTTTCATTCCATTTATTGGTTTATGGTTTCATTCCATTTTGCTTCCATGAAACATTAGAACTTGACCTAGACAAAACAAGATTAAAAATTTTGCCTGTGACTCGACAGGCTTTGCAGCTATAATTCTGTAAAAATTCCCTGAGTATTCTGTATAAAATGCCTACATGTAACACAAAAATATAACCATTGGCAGGTATGTAGTATTGTTTTCTGTAAACAGTAACCAGTGAATAATTTCTTTAGTGGTTGTAAACCTGGATGTGTCAACAAGCAAGCTTTTCATGTTAACAAGAAATGCACGTGTGAAACTGGGTAAGTTTGGTCTGCATTAGTGAAAGCTTTGGATGCTTAAATGTTGTTTGACAAGATTTTTTTTTCTTAGAAACGTAACACTTTTATTATGATAACTAAAGGTAGTGTATGTTATTGTTTATCATACTATTTTACATGCATCAAAAAGCTTGTTATGAATGTATTTAATTTTTGTAGTCAACTGGTAATTTTTCACAAAAATTATCTGTAACTAAATGTTTTCTCAAAATGTGGACTTCACTATTTCTCTTTCCTTTTAAAAATGTTTTGTCTGTTTACCTTTTTTTTTTTTAAAGAACTGTCAGAACCACCATTTCAACAACAACTGAAGCAAACTGCAACAGAGTCAAGCTGAATGCCTCTTCAGTGGTTTTATTTTCCATCTGTTTATACTGGATCTTAAAGTACACGGCTTAAACACAGTGAAAGTTGTTTTTAAAAAATGTTTTTGTTTACTAACGTTAATTTATTTTATGTATTGTAGACAGGCCAGTCCACTAAGAAGTAAACCTTCCCACTTAGTTTTAATTTTTTGAAAGATTTTTGTGTGAAAAGTTGCTGTTGTCTTTCATTTTTTACTGGTTTTGTACAAGCAAAAAAATGTCTTTCATAACAATTTAGTTTACTAAAAATTATATATTTTACCATTGTTATTTAAGATATTATTAGATTTATATATTTATATATATATGCTTGTATCCAGATAGTGTGACCAATCTGATAAATTGTTTTCATATCTATTTCTACCTGCTGCTCGTTGGTTGCCGGCTGACATCGCCATGCCAGTATATTTTAAATTTCTTCCACACCAAAGATATTATTAGATTATTTAGATTCTCTTATTTTGGATTTTGGAGAGAATCTAGACACATGACTTACCCCTTGTGCTTCTACATTTTTAAATTTTGTTACGTTTTTATTCATATTAATTTATATTCGCAGAAATAAGAAAAGTAAGCATTTTATTATGTTATAGGAATTAAATAACTTTTTTTTAAAAATTAACTGCTTTACATTTTACTTCTCATAAAAATAATGCAAACTAATGTTACTACTTTCCTATTACAGATTTAGATTGTTTTACTATTTTGTAAAATATTCATCCTTCACACATTAACTCATTGCAGTAAGCTCAAACAAATTCAATCCAACCTTCTCCGTCCATTATTATCACAAATTATTAACTAGAAGCAGCATTATTTATTGAAAGTTGATGATCAATTTTGTAAATTTTTTATAAAAATGAGATTTACTTTATTTTTATTTTACTTTTTAAAATAATAGCTGTTAAATTACATAATTGAAACCAGTAATGTGAGCATCATCATCCTCATTTCTTCTTCGTGCCCTAGACACATGGGGCAGATGAAGTAGAGTTCATCAGCTTCAGAGACCTTGACAAATGAAGGGATAGTGTGGTCAGCACTATGCCCAGCCACCTTTGTTTTCTCTAATGTGAGTCAGGGGCCCATCAGAGCTGGGACGTTCTACGGATTTGAACTCGAGGCTCTCATCTTAGCAGTCTAGCTCTCTACCACTAGGCATATTCGTTATTAATGTTTTAAAATTTTAATTTACATCTAACATTCCCAATATTTAAACTGTTAAACATTCCCGATATTTAAACTGTTAAACATTCCTGATATTTAAACTGTTAATCACTCCTGATATTTCATCTGTCAAACATTCCATTTAATTATGTCAGAATTGTACTGCTAAATATTGCTTGTTTTATAACATGAATTATCTTGTTAAATCTAATCTGAATCTTGTTAAGTTATAAGTATGTAAATAACTTTGTGATCTGAATGAAAAAGATAAACTATAACTTTTTGGTGATATTTTGTAAAGATAGAACTTAAAAAACATTTATCACAGAGTGCCTTGGTAGAAAATAATGTTTAACCCCTTTCTGAGTTAAGAAAGGATAGTTAGAAATAATACACTGTGTTTTTTTTGTAAGCAGAATATATATCTGAACATGTATGTTTATTTTCTGCAGTAAGGCCCAAATGTACTGGTAGAGCTCAATAATATGCACAACGGTTTGCTGAAAGTATTTGATAAGGTATATAATTATCAAAATATGAACTTTGTAGGCCTATAAACTAAATGCCAGTCTTATGAAGTTTCTTATGAACATTATTATAATACATGGCATACCTTTTTTTGTAACTTACAGTACTTACACTATAGCTATGAGTGTACTTACATTTTCATTATTAGGAAAAAGTTGGGTTTTTTTTTTGGCCAAACTGTCAGTTATCTGAATAACACATAACAGTAAAGGGCACAGGCTGAATCGAGTCAATTTTAACTTTATTACTTAACATTTTATGGAACTCTCATTTGGATATAGGCGGTTGGCGTGACCATGTCTGTAAAGCTCATCGCTGCTAAACCAAAAAACCATGAGTTCGAACCCCCAGGCAGATGAAGCTTGATAGCTGGGGACAGCCACTCATCTAGGAGAGACAACTCCAAAATCAAACAACTATTGTCTTGAACTTTTTCTTGGATAGATAAAGGCTACGGAAGCAAATCCAGCAAGAAAGGCAGACTGGAATTAGAGTCCACAGCCTATGTGGTTCATAACATGTTGACACGTAATAGTAATACTTGATTGTGTTTGAGGAAACTTTTTTAACCTTTTATCTCATGTAAAATTAATATATTGCACATCATCAGTCAAAGCAAGGTTGTGTTGTGCCTGATTCTGTTAGTAAAAATTGAATGGTTTTATCTTTGTGTTCCATCAGGTGGTTGATTCTGACTGTCAAGATAAAAAGTAATCTTCTATATGTATGATTTATCTGATTGCACAATTTTTTGTCTTTGATGTAACTTTTTAGTGTACCTTAATTGTGACTCAACGACCTGCTTGGGGGTGGGGGGACGATAGCGTGAGCCAACAAAATCTGAACACTGTGATCTGGATGGGAAGAAGACTTTTGATAGGGTTGAATACAATGTATTTTATATATTTTTCAACATATCAGCTTTAATAATCCTATTTATTAAAAATGTGGCGAGAAAAAGCTTGTTACTTCATTGTGTGAAGTCAGTTAATTTTAGTAGTTAAGAATTGTATACTGTTTCCTGTGTCAAACTGTTGTTTCACTTTGTTTGCTGCAATGTCCTGATGTTAATTGTTTCTTGGCATTGTCTATGAACTCTAAAAAACCTGACAAAAAAATCAAATATTTATAAAGCACTGGTACTAATTGCCCACCTCTTTTATATATATATATATATATATATATATATATATATATATATATATATATATGGATGCGGGATATGCTTGTATCCTGATAGTGTGGCCAATTGATAAATTGTTTTCATATCTATTTCTACCTGTTGCTCGTTGGTTGCCGGCTGACATCGCCATGCCAGTACATTTTAAATTTCTTCCACACCAAAGAAAGTCTGGATCTTTAACGTGGTTATGCCACTTTGCTGCGTTAGTTCTCCAAGTTTCGGCTCCACATTTATTTGTAGTCTTGATTACAGTGTTGAACTCTAATTTTTGTCTTGAAAGATAGTTTTCTAAAATTCTAGACAGTTAGCTAACTGCTCTTGCCTTGTCGAATTTTACTTTATTGACTGCTATACGCTATACTGTCCAGGCACCTGAAATTTTCTATCCCGTTATTTTATTTTTTTTCAATTTTATAAAGTTACTAGTTTGATCAACATATCTTGAGGACTTTCTTTCTATGAATGTTATTTTTAATCTAATTAAATATTAAATTTATAATTTAAAAAAAAAACATTTTGAGAAATGAAATTTAATTTAGTTTCACTGTTAGGATTTTATAGCTAGTATTTTCCCCACCCCCTTCCTCAGCTCCCCACCTACACTTCTGCTGTGTGTGACTCCTGTTTTCCATAACGAAAGTGTGTAGGCACGGAGAGATTGTATGTGAGAGTGGCCTCCCCTTGAAAGTGCTGGTCGAGCGTGATAAACAAGTGTGTGAACTATTGTGAACGAAGGAGTGTGTGAGCGGTGTGTAGCGTCAACTCCGTGTAGCTAGTCGTCAGTTTTTTCTTGTCTCAATGTTTCTCTTCCAGTTGATGAAAATTATACCTCAATGTAACAAATTCCCTTTGTGGATTGTGTTCTTTATTAGTGTTACACCTGGCCCCCAAACGAGCCAAACAATAATTAGAAAGCCGAGTGTAACACAAACACTATAAAATTCGTTCGCTCTTGGTTGGGTAGACTAAAATATACGATGACCATTTTTGACGAGTAAACACAATTAATATTATCTCTCTTTTGTCAGGATAGACCAGGGGTCGGCAACCTGCGGCTCGCGAGCCGCATGCGGCTCTTTTGATATCAAGATGCGGCTCTCCAGCTCCTTGAACAAATACTAATAATCTTAATAAAAAATAAAATATTTGAAATAAAAAAAAATTAGTGGCTCTTTAAAACCAGGGAAATTTTGAAAATTGTAACTTTTGGCTCTTCCGCTTCAAAAGGTTGCCGACCCCTGGGATAGACTATCTTAAATATGGGGACCACTGTTTTCCATACAAACGCTATACAATCAGCACTATTTTGACGGGGTAGACGGGGCAATATGGAGATCACTGGTTGACACCTTTCAATCAGGTCTGTCTTGGTGGGGTAGGTAGGTTAAAATATGGGTACCACTGTTCGACAACAAAACAATATACAACTTCAACACTATTGGCAGGGTAGACAGGCAATACTATGGGGACCACTGTTTGTCAGCCGAACACTATACCATCAGGTCTACGTTGACGGGGTAGACAGAATGGGAGCAATATGGGGACCACTGGTTGACACCCTTAAGTCAGCTCTATCTTGGTGGGGTAGGCACGTTAACATATGGGGACCACTGTTTGTCAGCCGAATACAGGTCAGCCATCAGGTCCATCTTGACTGGGTAGATGGCAGAGGCGTAGCGACCCTTCCCGGCGCCCGGGGACAAACTTTTCGATTTGCACCCCCCCCCCTCAAGATTTCGATTTGCACCCCCCCCCCCCCCTCAAACTTTCGATTTGCACCCCCCTCAACCTTTCAATTTATTTTTCTAACCCATTTTGGCGCCCCCTAAGGTCGACGCCCGGGGACATATGTCCCTCCCCTCGCTACGCTACTGGTAGATAGAGCAATATGGGGAACACTGGTTTACACCCTGCAATCAGCTTTATCTTGGTGGTGTAGACAGGTTAAAATATGGGGATCAGAGGCGTATCGAGGGGGGGGGGGGGTGCGGACCGCACCGGGTGACACCATTTAGGGGGGTGACACCAAGGCAAAAAATAGCAAAATATAGAGAGAAAAATGATAATTCCACTTAATTAAGTGATTAATTCGAGTGTTAAATAGTGTTTTAAGAGGTTCAAATCGAAAGTTTAAGGGGGCGTTGCAGATCGAAAGTTTGAGGGGGTGGGGGTGCAAATCGTAAATTGAAAGTTTGTCCCCGGGAAGAGTTGCTACGCCTCGGGGGTGGGGTGACACCATTAAGTGCCGCACCGGGTGACACTCGACCTCGCTACGCCACTGATGGGGACAACTGGTTGACACCTTGCAATCAGGTCTACCTTGAAGGGGTAGACAGGTTAAAATATGGGGACCGCCGTTTCACTGCCAAACACTATACAATCCTATCAGCTCCCTCTTGACTTATCGATCTCCAGCGATCGCCGTTCAAATCAATAATCGCGCATTAATCTCTATCATACTCGGATTCCTCCCCCTCCCCCCGGTACTTCAACACAGCTGTAAAGTAACACCCGGCTTTGAAGGTGTATTTTTAGCTGGTCTTTTCAAACACCACCGGCTTAGGAACAAATGCACCACAAATATGCGAACCACGGGCGTCTGGGCACGGCAGCGTACAGCAAATACTTCCAAGTTCTCGCGTGGCATTTAAATGCCCGAGACTTCTAACGAGGTTTAGTAATGTAAGGTGCTACACGCTGATCTTGTAGTCCTTGAACACGTTGTAGTAAGTACTAAATACTTACGTCATATGTGCTCAATGTTTATGTGTTAGTTTTCTGTATTGTGAATTCATTAGTAATTATGTCATGTGATCAAGTTGTTTTAGGAAATAAAATAAAAACAACAACTTTGTACTATATGTGAAACAATTATGTAATTAGGAAACTGAGTTAATGAAGGAAATATCGAGCCTAGTACATTGAGATGTTAGGATTATAAGCACGTAATACTGAGAAGAATATAAAGGGACTTGCTACATTGTCTTGATAAAGAAAGGAGTAACATGAAGGTAAGGTTAAATATGTTTTTATATAAGAATCTGTTAACCCATAATTTATTGTAAAATAACAGTGTAATAAAATAAAAAGCATCTTGAAATTAAATAATGTTTAGTATGTTTAGAGCGAAATTGTGTAAGAGTGAAGTTTGGCATCATTTTAGTAGGGAGGTCTGAAAATGTGTGTGGGGGAGGGGATAAAAGTGAAGGGAAAAATTGATGTCAATTATATGTAAGTTCTCATGTTAGACCTGGGGTTGCATAGGGGTAGATGAAGTAGAGTATCTGTGTGTGACCTCAGTATCTACAGAGATAGTGGGTCAATACTATGCACAATCCCATTTACTTTCCATAATACCGATCAGAGCTGGGCGAACTCATGGACATTTAACATACTCAGGGACATTTAATATACTCAGGGACATTTAACATACTCAGGGACATTTAACATACTCAGGGACATTTAACATACTAAGGGACATTTAACAATCTCAGGGACATTTAAAATACTCAAGGACATTCAAAAGTCTCAGGGATATTTAACAGACTCAATGACATTCAATAGATTTAAGGACATTCAACAGAATTAAAACCCTGGATCCGAATTTGATACTTTCAGACTAGCAATCATGCACACTACCGCCCGACGACGACTATCCTTTATTTCTAAGATTATGTAATTAGTAAAAAAAATATTTTTTAAAAGATTGAATTGAACTGGTTTAAACATAAACGTACGAAAATTGTTGTCTTAATAAAAGTATAGTAGCGTTAAAAATACGTGTGTGCAGTGTTTCTTCCAGACTTTTTATCTCCGGGGGGGGGGGGGGGAACGTTTGATATTTTCGGGGGTGGGGGGGGGATAGTCGATAGTCAGCATTTTCCGGGGAGGCGGACACTACTAAAAGTATACGTTTGCTATGTAAATTCCATCTCGTTCGGGGTTTTGGGGGGGGGGGGGGGGGCGGTAGACTTACTTCGATGGGGGGGGGGGGGGGGCACAGCACCCCCACTCCCCCGAAGAGGTTCCCGGAAGAAACTGCGTGTGTGCTGTACTTTTCTGTTTAGATTGGAAGTTTTAATATTTTTTACATTTATTCTAACAAAATGAAACGATATATTTGGGTTAAAGTTAAAGGAAGAATAAGTCATTCTATATATCTCTTCGTCTTTGCTCCTATGCATAACTGAATAATAAATACATTGTCTAATATATTTTTTCAAAAACATGCTTTAAATACTTATTATCGTTAATATAACAGTTACTGGCATACAGGAAATATAATGAATTAACTAAATGCATTTACTAATTATTGCATTTAAAAATAACTGCACGGTAAGCTACATTATTTCCCTTTACCACGTTTGACACAGTTACGTACCCTGTTAAAATTGGTCTAGAAGTAGAAGACTTCTATTTGGGAGGACAGTAGCGTCACCTTGTGAACTTTGTTCAGTTCACGTGAACAAATAAAAATTATTTTTTTTTTTTTTATTTTATTTTTTATTTTTTTTTTTATTTTTATTAATTTTTTTTATTTTTTATTTTTATTTTTATTTTTTTATTTTTTTTTATTTTTATTTTTTTTTTTTTTTTTTTATTATTTTTTTTTTTTTTTTTTTTTTTTTTTTTATTTTTTTAATTTATTTTTTTTTTTTATTTTTTTATTTTATTTTTTTATTTTTTATTTTATTTTTTTATTTTTTTTATTTTTTTTTTTTTTTATTGGGCTTGTAAGTTGTTAAAGTAGCTTACCAAGTTCTCGCTCCGGTAGTTGCCAGCTGGCGTTTTTTTGTTTTTTCAAACCAAATGTGAATATTTTTTTATTTTTTTTAAGTTATGAAATCTACTTTCGTTTTTGGAATAAAAAAAACTCCGACAATAAGTTGTTTTAAGTAAATTAAGTTTAAAATAACACACACACACACAAATATATTATATTTTATATAGATCCAGATAGATCTAGAATACAACCTGTATAATAATAATACATCTATAATCTATATAAAATATGATATTTATAGGCCTAAAAGATTTCAATCGTAAATCTGAAATCAAGCCTAATTTAATTAATAAATATATATATAGCCTAGATCTAGAAATCTAGAGTCTAGATTTCTAGATCTAGAATTCTATATCTAGATCTATGACTTAAAAAAAACCCTCTTGAAAATTCCGACTTAGACAGTAACATACGACATACAGGATTTATTTTTAATTTATAGACTCAAGAGTAGTCTAGAGATCTAGATTCTAGATCTAGTTTCTTTTATTTTACAGTGTAGTTGAGTGGAATTAATTACTAAATAGGCTATTTACTTTAAGACAGGTAGACTAGAATATGTTCAATATCAATTTATATATAGAATCTAGATTATTCTAGATCTAGCGAAGTTTAGTGTAGTCTTGTTGTAGAACTTAAGAACTAAATCTAGAGTGTAGGCAACTGTAGTAATTTAGATCTAGAATCTAGTACTGTGTGACGTCATTTTAGGGGGTGGGGGTCTGGCTTTTTGTGACGATGTGTAGGGGGAGGGGGTGAGGTAAAAATCGTCAAAAAAATGCGTGACGTCATTTATAGATAAGCCCCATGGAGAAGATCCACACAGAAACAGTTGAAGGAAATGGGCCTAACATTCAAACAGGTAGAGGTACCAACATGATTTTAGAGATTATGTAGATATACATATATATGTATAGGGGGAGGGGTAGAGAGAGAGAGAGGGTTCATCTGTAAATTGCATCACACATTTTATGATGATTTTCACCTCCCCCTCATAAAGGAGGGCAGTAAAAAGAAGAATGTATGATAGCTGGGTAATCCTAATTTATATAATCAGATTATTGTGGTAAATAAAAGTCAACATATCTAGCCTAACAAAATGCCATGAATTTAAAATATATATTATGACTTAGAGAAAGTTTGGTGAAATGGAAATATCTGCAAATTTGATTTATTGATGATGTGTAACTTGTTTATATTATTCCTTTGGAGCTGATATTAATAAAAAGTTAATGAAATTATAGAGTTTTATCCAATTGATGTTTCTAAAGCCTTGCATGAACTTAATTTAAATATATTTAGCTGCCCAGGCAAAGAACCCAATGAATTTTCCAGAATTGGCTTGTCGTTTGACCGATGGTAACAAAGAGAATCACCCAGGATCTTCGCTGATAAGAAAATCTGAAGACATACCTTATTCTTCTATATCTAAATGTGATTTGTCTAATGAAAATATTTATTCAGTGACAATTGCTAAAGATATTTTACCATTATTTCAAACATCATCTTCTGAAATGTTGTTTTCTATCTCTAAACCTTCCACAATTTCTTCAAGTTTCAAGAGATATTTTAACATCATTGCCTACTTCCCACAGTTCTTATGTTCAAAATTTGCAATTTTCTGAGAAACAAAGTAATAATAAATTTGTACCCAGTGTTTTAGTTTCAGCTCCATTAAAATTTAATAAACCAATCAATTTCAAAATTAAATGTTTCTTATCCCATATGAAAGTAGTCTGTTTTATTTAAGAAAAATCACCTTTAAAAAAATTTAATATTTGAATGTCAATAAATTGTTGACATGGACTGGTTTGCGGGTAAGCTTTTATACTTAGTGTACAATAAAGATTCAGTTTTGATGTCAATATAGTTGCTTCTGAAAGAATTAAACTATAAACAATAGCATTTATATTAATATCTCAATGGCAGTTCAGTATACTTTCATCATTGTTTTCAAATAACAAAACAGAACTACAGTTTTAAAATTGAAAAAAAAAAATGAAAAGAATTTCATAAATGGATGGTTTTTTAATTACTTAAAACAGAAGATGCATCAATACAGCATTACAATGTATATGATTAATATTTCTTTTCATGGACAATCATCATTTAAATTCTTCATTAAAAGTTAAATTCAGCTTCCTTGTGTCTAAAAATCCACATCCATGCTGTTCCATTTACCTAGAAATTAAATAAATAATATTTTTAACAACTTTCTGTAATATGAAAAAATTAATCATTGATTAAAACAGAAAGCCAATATAGCAGTTGAATTAAAATTCACCTGTTTCTGTGACATTTGCATGTAAAATTAGAGTGTTCAGAGGTATATACCCAGCCACCTTTAATTTCCCTATCTTGAGCCAGGTACTCATGAGAGCTGGTACTCATGAGACTTAGGACATCATACCAGGACTAAAACCAGGGATCTGAACTCTTATCTTTTAGGATAGAAATGTGAAAGCTACTGTCTGACAGTCCCACTATCAAGCCATACATATTAATACTTACAATATATAATCTTAGTAGCAACATATTCTTTAAGAATTAGAACACTGAATCGATTTCAAACTTGGGCTTAAGCTGAAAAATGGCTTATTATAAAAAAAAAAATTCAGCTCACCTTTAGTTCAAGATCAGCACCAATAGCCACAGTAAAGTGTGAGAAAACTGCTTGCCAAGTACCTAGGGAATTTAAATATAATAAATTATTAAGTTTATCCATATATTATATTAAAATAATTATTTAACTAATATGAGATATTAATATATATATATATATATATATATATATATATATATATATATATATATATATATATATATATATATATATATATATATATATATATATATAAGGTTTAATTTTTTGTAAAGGTTCAGTTTTCTATCTACTTAGCTTGTCTTAAAAACTAAAATATCTGGTTTACAGTTAACCATATCTTAACTATTACAAAACTATTAGTTTCATTTTCATTACTTGTAACTAAAAATTGTAGTCAATAGATCTAAAACTTAATTCTATTAACAGCTAACTGTAACCATACTGACTCTGACCAATTTATTAATTTTTGTACCCTGTAATTCATTAATAATTAGGCTTATACTAAAAGGCCGAAAGTTATCAATTGTAGATTTTATAGTCCCTGGTCTAGACTAACAAGACTAGCCTACAAGTCTAATAGTACTAATACACATGATCTAGTTTATAAGTTTACTACTAGGCAACTTGCTAGAAGACTAGTACTTAACCAAACTTTAACTTGCTAAAAATAAAAGGGCCTAATACAATAGTAGATGGCCTAGTAATACTTTTTTTTTACTGTGCTACTTACACTGCTTTTGGTACTATTACTACGGCTAACTAACTACTAACTAAACTCTATTGTAGCTTGATGGAGATCTATCATCTTGCTCTTCTAGTAGTCGACACTACTTACTACTTAGAAAAGTAGTAGCACTACTGTAACAATTTCAATCTAAATTTAATCTATATATTACTAGATCTACTCATTGCAACACTGTAGTCTGATAAGTCTGTAAGCCCTAAATGTATCTAGATTCTAGTCTAATTTAGTTTCAGTCTAGTTATTAGTACCTACACTCTACAATAGTCTACAGTACTCTACACTACACTCTACTACTACTCTAATCACTCTACTGGCTACTGATCTAGATCTAGTAAATAGCTAGAGTAGATCTATTCTAGATTCTAGATATAAAAAAAATGATTTAAAATTAAAAACAGGTTTGAGGTTAGCCTTACTAGGCATAACTAGCTCTTACTAAACTTAACTACTACTACTAACTAGGGTAGGTTTTACCTAAACTAGATCTAATCTAGATCTAGAATCTATCTAGATCTAGATCTAATCTACTAGATTCTCTAGATCTAGATTTTAGATCTAGGGCCTACCTATCTAGAAATACTATCTGTCTAGCCATCTATCTACAAGCTACTTCTAATAACTATATATAATATAGAGTCTATAGTCTATACTAATATAGGCCTACTTCTAAAATATTAAACAGTAATCACTGAGTAATCAGTACTAGAGTCTAGTTCAGTAATTTAGCTAGATCTAGATCTAGGTCTATTAACATTAACATTGTTGTCTAAGTTCTAGATATCTAGATCTAGATCTAATATATAGATCTAGAATCTAGATCTAGATTCGATTAATAAGTAAGTCGTAGGCTGAGTGAGACTGGAAGTCATCCTCATTTTCCTGTTGTTTTAGTTTTTACCGTCATCCTTTTCTTAATATTTTTAATATTTTATCTAGATCACTAAAATACTAGATCTAGAATCTAGATCTAATATATTCTAATTCATTAACTTATACTCTTAGAACTAGATTAAAGCAATGTAGATCTTAGTTGGTAGATTCTAGAATCTAGATCTAGATCTAGGTCTGGGAATCTTAAGTCTCGTAGCAAAGACTGAGTAGAGTCAGAGTAATGTCCCCTAGCCTTGGACAAACTATCAACAAAAGAAATAAAATCAATATACTTACCGCCACAAAACTTTTATATTCAAAAATGCATACACATGTGTTTGTTCCCATCCATATGAACAAAACAGCGTTGAAAGTTTTTACAGTTGTTGCATTTCTGGAACGTTTGATGATTTTGAAATCTTGAAGCGGGACCTACTAACAAATAGCCGCCATGTTTTTTGTTATCAATGGGAAACCCCGTTCACAACAATTGATTTAGTTCGAAAACTTTTATCTCTCCCTGGCTAACCAGACACGAATTAACGCGAGAAAGAACGATAAACTTACAAGTTCTATAGACATGATTTTTAATCCATTTTAAATACTTAAAGTTTTAAAAATAGAATAAAATCTCGTAGACAAATTAATTGCACACCAAGTGAACGCCAAATCAAAAAGCGCATAATAGTGCGCAATATTATTAGTACTTTTAAAATTTACATTAGTTTTTTGAGAAATCGGAAGTAGCGTAAATTACTACTTCCGGTCAACGGAAATTACTCAAAATTTAACAGAAGGTAGAGAATTAGATCTTTTACTTACAAGTGAAATTTCATTTATCTATCTGAAATAGTACTCAAGTTATAGGCTTTTGAAAAATTCAAAGAAGGAAAAGTACCACTTCCGGTTATCGGAAATCGCTCAAAAGTTGATACGGATCTACGATTTTGATAAAATACTTATATATGAAATTTCATCAACCTAGCTGTAACGGTACTCAAGTTATCGTGTTTACACACGGACACACAGACACACAGAATACGGACAGAATTGCAAAGCCCAGATTTTCAGACTGGATTACGCATAAAACCTCTTAATTTTGATAAATCTGGATTGATAATTTTTGCCCGATTAAAATAAGTCCTCTATACTCCGGATGTGATGAAGGACTGAGGAGTAAAACGGTGAAAACTGTCAAAATTTCATGTTATTTTTGTTCACGATTACAATACTTTCTCTATACTTCGTATATACGAGAAAGTAAAAAGGGCAATTATGGTTGATCTTTTTTCTTAATTCTCATATTAAATGGGATCAGAGTTTCTTCCAAGCATCTCTTCGGGGGGGGGGGGGGGGGCGGCCGAAAAAATTCTACCGCCCCCCCCCCCCCCCCCCCCGAACGAAATGAAATTTATATAATTTATATAGAAAATATATACTTTTAACAGTGTGCGCCCCCCCCCCCCCCCGAAGAAAGTCTACCCCCCCCCCCCGAAGAAAAAAGCCTGGAAGAAACACTGAATGGGATATTCTCCAACGCTGTTAAGTATTAAGTACATGCTACGCTCCATAAGACCCGTCGACACAGTCTTCAGCTTGCTTTGCTTTTCTTTTCTTTGATTTGCTCCCAAATTCTTTGTCCATCTTAGAACAATATTCAAGTCAGCACTTGTTTGTTTTTTTTAGTTTTCTCTCAAAGATGAGTTGCTGTCCCCAGCTAACCAGTGTTTCTTCCAGGCATCCCTTCGGGGGGGGGGGGATTACCGAGTCTCCCCCCCCCCCCCCTGAACGAAATGGAAAATTATATTAAAAATATATACTTTTACCAGTGTTCGCCCCCCCCCCCCCGGAAAATGTGTTCCACCACCCCCCTCCCCAACCCGAAAATATCAAGTGCGTGCCCCCCACCCCCCTCCCCATAGAAAAAAGTCTGGAAGAAACACTGCAGCTAACGAGCCTCATCTGCCCCGGGGTCCCAAAACATAACTTTTGGAGTTAACGGCCATGAGCTCTCCTACCCGACCACACCGTCCCCTGGGGGTCGTTGTTGATTACTGTGACCTGGTGCGTCTATTGTTCTGCATACAAACAGTTCTGGCAATAGCCAATTACAGTGTAATTTTATCCAACTTGACAACAACAAAAATCGAAATCTGCCTTCAACATTATCTTTTCTCATTCATGCCCTAGACATATGGGCCAGATGAAGTAGAGTTAAATGTTTAATGACCTCAACATATGGATGGAATGTGTGGTCAGCACTATGCACAGCCGCTTAGGTTTTTCTAACGTGAGTCAGGTACCCATCATAGCTGGGTGGAGTAGAGTCAGGTACCCATCAGACTTGGGTGGACTAAAGTCAGGTACCCATCAGACTTGGGTGGACTAGAGTCAGGTACCCATCAGACTTGGGTGGACTAGAGTCAGGTACCCATCAGACTTGGGTGGACTAGAGTCAGGTACCCATCAGACTGAGGTGGACTAGAGTCAGGTACCCATCAGAGTTGGGTGGAGTAGAGTCAGGTACCCATCAGACCGAGGTGGGCTAGAGTCGGGTACCCATCAGAGCTGGGTGGAGTAGAGTCAGGTACCCTTCAGAGCTGAGTGGACTAGAGTCAGATACCCATCAGAGCTGGGTGGACTAGAGTCAGGTACCCATCAGAGCTGGGTGGACTAGAGTCAGGTACCCATCAGAGCTGGGTGGACTAGAGTCAGGTACCCATCAGACTTGGGTGGACTAGAGTCAGGTACCCATCAGAGCTGGGTGGACTAGAGTCAGGTACCCATCAGAGCTGGGTGGACTAGAGTCAGGTACCCATCAGACTGAGGTGAACTAGAGTCAGGTACCCATCAGACTTGGGTGGACTAGAGTCAGGTACCCATCAGACTTGGGTGGATTAGAGTCAGGTACCCATCAGAGCTGGGTGGACTAGAGTCAGGTACCCATCAGAGCTGGGTGGACTAGAGTCAGGTACCCATCAGAGCTGGGTGGACTAGAGTCAGGTACCCATCAGACTGAGGTGAACTAGAGTCAGGTACCCATCAGAGCTGGGTGGACTAGAGTCAGGTACCCATCAGACTTGGGTGGACTAGAGTCAGGTACCCATCAGACTTGGGTGGATTAGAGTTAGGTACCCATCAGACTTGGGTGGACTAGAGTCAGGTACCCATCAGACTTGGGTGGATTAGAGTTAGGTACCCATCAGACTTGGGTGGATTAGAGTCAGGTACCCATCAGACTTGGGTGGACTAGAGTCAGGTACCCATCAGACTTGGGTGGACTAGAGTCAGGTACCCATCAGACTTGGGTGGATTAGAGTTAGGTACCCATCAGACTTGGGTGGATTAGTCAGGTACCCATCAGACTTGGGTGGACTAGAGTCAGGTACCCATCAGACTTGGGTGGATTAGAGTTAGGTACCCATCAGACTTGGGTGGATTAGAGTCAGGTACCCATCAGACTTGGGTGGACTAGAGTCAGGTACCCATCAGAGCTGGGTGGACTAGAGTCAGGTACCCATCAGAGCTGGGTGGACTAGAGTCAGGTACCCATCAGAGCTGGGTGGACTAGAGTCAGGTACCCATCAGACTGAGGTGGACTAGAGTCAGGTACCCATCAGAGCTGGGTGGACTAGAGTCAGGTACCCATCAGAGCTGGGTGGACTAGAGTCAGGTACCCATCAGAGCTGGGTGGACTAGAGTCAGGTACCCATCAGAGCTGGGTGGACTAGAGTCAGGTACCCATCAGAGCTGGGTGGACTAGAGTCAGGTACCCATCAGAGCTGGGTGGACTAGAGTCAGGTACCCATCAGACTTGGGTGGACTAGAGTCAGGTACCCATCAGAGCTGGGTGGACTAGAGTCAGGTACCCATCAGAGCTGGGTGGACTAGAGTCAGGTACCCATCAGACTTGGGTGGACTAGAGTCAGGTACCCATCAGAGCTGGGTGGACTAGAGTCAGGTACCCATCAGAGCTGGGTGGATTAGAGTCAGGTACCCATCAGACTTGGGTGGACTAGAGTCAGGTACCCATCAGAGCTGGGTGGACTAGAGTCAGGTACCCATCAGACTTGAGTGGGCTCAAGAATGAATTCGAGTCAGGATCCTAATTAGAAAATACTCGTGTTAGCTGTCGTGAACTCTACCATCAGACCACGCCGTTCCCTGGAATCTGCCTTAGCAAGCACAAAAACTGCAAAACAACTAAATTCACCCGCGCCGCTGTAGTTAACAGATACGTCATACCTAAAATAATAAACAAAGAAACACAATCAGAGGCGTAGAGACCCTTCCCGGCGCCAGGGGACAAACTTTTCGATTTGCACCCCCCCCCCCCCCGTCAAGATTTCGATTTGCATGCACCCCCCCCCCCTCAAACTTTCGATTTGCACCCCCCCCCTCAAACTTTCGATTTGCACCCCCCTCAACCTTTCAATTTATTTTTCCAACCCATTTTGGCGCCCCCCTTAGGTCGGCGCCCGGGGACATATGTCCCCCCCCCCCCGCCCCCCCCCCTCGCTACGCTAATGAACACAATATACGAAAGAAAAAAAAGGAAAAAAATAGAAATGTTCACAATGCACAAGCATATTTTTTTCTAGCTGTGAGCTAACACTCTACAATTATTTTAACAAATAATGAAAAATCTTTAAACAAATGACTCAATAAAAATTAATTCAACAAGTACTAAATTTATTAAATATTAAACACATACTGAACACAAAAAAAACATGCATTTTAACAAATATTCCAAAAGTTCCAGAAAGAACCGCTACACACATTACATTGCCACCAATTTCGACTTACTAATTACTATAAGTAACACTAATCCATTTGATTGATTGCTTACTTTATCGACTAACGTTAATGAAGCCCGGGATTAATATTGATTTCCGATAACAATAAATCCTACTATCAACATTTCTTTCAGTTCGGTATCGAAGCCCGAAGGATCGATTTTTTATTTTATCGATTTCAATGATCATTATTGGCAATAAAATCTATTGTGAATTTCCGCCTGAGTGTCGTGGATTACATGAACATATTGTGTTTAATTAGTTTGCTATGTCGTTACTACACATATGAGTTGACGAACTTGTGTTGCTGGTTCAGACAGGGGAGGTTACCTTTGATATTTTGACGCCAGGGGAGATAACTTTTTAGTCTTGCGCCCCTCATTTAAAAAAAAATGTTAATGTTTGGTGAGATCATAGATTTATTCACTGCCGTATACTGTCATCGGCATTTCTGGTGGGTTTGTTTGGTTTTTTTTTTTTTTTGTTTGCTGTTGTTTTTGTTTTTGTTTTTTTTTTTGTTTCCTGTTTTTTTTTTGTTTTTTTTTTTTGTTATTGCCTGTTGTTGTAATTGCTGCTGCTCTTATTGTTGTTGGTGTGCTGTTGCAGTGTACGTGTATTTACTACAATTTCATCACTTTTTCAATTTTTTTTCTGAAAATGTAAATATGGTACGTAATGTGATGTTAGGGCAGAGGCGTAGCGAGGGGGGCGGGGGATGCGGACCGCACCGGGTGACACCATTTAGGGGGGTGACACCAAGGCAAAAAATAGCAAAATATATAGAGAAAAACTTGAGGTGGGGGTTTGGGGTGCAAATCGAAAGTTTGAGGGGGGGTGCAAATCGAAAGTTTGAAAGTTTGTCCCCGAGAAGGGTCGCTACGCCTCTGAGGGGGGTGACACCATTAAGTGCCGCACCGGGTGACACCCGACCTCGCAACGCCACTGTGTTAGGGGAGATATATTTCATTATATTTTTACACACAAATAAAAAAAAACAATACATTAATTGTGTTAAGAATTAACCTTCGCCTAAACCTCTATGCCTTTACTGCCCTTTACATTAGGAAAGGTTGCACCTTCCCCCCCCCCCCCCCCCCCCCCATCTCAATCAATCGTTT